AATTTATCACTTGCACTATAAACGCAACAAAGTCCACCTTCTTCACTTCTTCAGTGTGTCGGGATCCTTCTCCTGCATGGCATTCACTGCAGACTGTGGGACATCCACTACCATCTCATCTCTACTCACTCCTTCACACCGCTGTGTTCAATAATTTGTGCTGAACAAAATACTGTTGATTACTAGCAGAGAGGAAGAATCGAAGCGAGAGGTTTTACTCCACACAACATCTGTCCACGAAAATAAGCCCACGAAGTGAGTAATTTTTGTATGGAGGTCAATGAGTGACGAATTTGGTCAACAAAAAATAGAATTGCTAATTTGCTACGTGAGGCTTATTTGATCTAATAGAAGTGTCGTAATGGTTAGGTTGTTACGAATGCAATGATATAAGTGGACACACGTGGCATTTCGGCAACTTTGGAAAAAAAAAAACGTTATATCAGAGTTGTGCCTGTTGTCATAGCGATAGATAGAGGACTGTTCATGGATATAACTTGGTGGGGATTCCTATGAGTTAGGAGATATCAGCCAAAGAAGAAAACTAACTTCTTTAAAATGCAGTCTCCGACACTATATTTGGCATAGATACAAAGATGAGTCCTCCATCTACAGTTGAAGTCGGAAGTTTACATATACATTTAAACTCAGTTTTTCACAATTCCTGACATTTAATCCTAGTAAAAATTCCCTGTCTTAGGTCAGTTAGGATCACCACTTTATTTTAAAAATGTGAAATGTCAGAATAATAGTAGAGAGAATGATTTATTTCAGCTTTTATTTTTTTCATCACATTCCCAGGGGGTCAGAAGTTTACATACACTCAATTAGTATTGGGTAGCATTGCCTTTAAATTGTTTGACTTGGGTCAAACATTTCGGGTAGCCTTCCACAAGCTTCCCACAATAAGTTGAGTGAATTTTGGCCCATTCCTCCTGACAGAGCTTGTGTAACTGAGTCAGGTTTGTAGGCCTCCTCGCTTGCACATGCTTTTTCAGTTCTGCCCACACATTTTCTATAGGATTGAGGTCAGGGCTAGGTGATGGCCACTCAAATACCTTGACTTTGTTGTCCTTAAGCCATTTTGCCACAACTTTGGAAGTATGCTTGGGGTCATTGTCCATTTGGAAGACCCATTTGCGACCAAGCTTTAACTTCCTGACTGATGTTTTGAGATGCTGCTTCAATATATCCACATAATTGTCCTTCCTCATGATGCCATCTATTTTGTGAAGTGCACCAGTCCCTCCTGCAGCAAAGCACCCCCCACAGCATGATGCTGCCACCCCCGTGCTTGAAGGTTGGGATGGTTTTCTTCGGCTTGCAAGCTCCCCACTTTTTCCTCCAAACATAACGATGGTCATTATGGCCAAACAGTTCTATTTTTGTTTCATCAGACCAGAGGACATTTCTCCAAAAAGTATGATCTTAGTCCCCATGTGCAGTTGCAAACCGTAGTCTGGCTTTTTTATGGCGGTTTTGGAGCAGTGGCTTCTTCCTTGCTGAGTGTCCTTTCAGTTTATGTCGATATAGGACTCGTTTTACTGTGGATATAGATACTTTTGTACCGGTTTCCTCCAGTATCTTCACAAGGTCCTTTGCTGTTGTTCTGGGATTGATTTGCATTTTTCACACCAAAGTACGTTAATCTCTAGGAGACCGAACGCGTCTCCTTCCTGAGCGGTATGATGGCTGCGTGGTCCCAAGGTGTTTATACTTGCGTACTATTGTTTGTACAGATGAACGTGGTACCTTCAGGCGTTTGGAAATTGCTCCCACGGATGAACCAGACTTGTGGAGGTCTAAAATTTTTTGGCTGATTTCTTTTGATTTTCCCATGATGTCAAGCAAAGAGGCACTGAGTTTGAAGGTAGGCCTTGAAATACATCCACAGGTACACCTCCAATTGACTCAAATTATTTCAATTAGCCTATCAGAAGCTTCTAAAGCCATTACATAATTTTCTGGAATTTTCCAAGCTGTTTATAGGCACAGTCAACTGTAAACTTCTGACCCACTGGAATTGTGATACAGTGAATTATAAGTAAACAATTGTTGGAACAATTACTTGTGTCATGCACAAAGTAGATGTCCTAACCGACTTGCAAAAATTATAGTTTGTTAAGAAGAATTTTGTGGAGTGGTTAAAAAATGAGTTTTAATGACTCCAGTGTATGTAAACTTCCGACTTCAACAGTATCTCTATGGTCTGTCGTTCACAGCGTATCTGGTCCCAACTCATCTTGCCTCCTCCCGTCTGCCTTCCATATTTGAGGACATGTATTTCCATTATTAAAGCGATCACTTTACTATCTTGTCAATATGATATACAATATTTCTTACTAGATAACATTTGAGTCCTAAAGCAAACAAACATCAGTCACAAACTAGTCACAAGACAGTCTGGGCAATGGCAGACACAACACAGGTTTTCAAATATAAGAACATGTGCAGTTTATTTGGAAGATGAGCTGTATCTGGCCTGAACTTTGAAATGATGACCAACATAATCACAGTTCTATATAAAGTACAAATCATTTGATTTTATTTGGCATAACATACAAATTACAATATACTTGACAAAATACTTGAAAGACAAATGTTGTACACAGGGGCAGATTGTTAGTTCATATATTTTATAATTCGTAAACAAAAACGGGTTGTTTTACTTAAATTTGTGTAACACACATGTATTGTAAATCATATATAACATTTTTATATATGTAAGTACCTTTGGTAAAAAAAATCACAATATAATACAGCAACATATATTACATTTACATTTTAGCCATTTAGCAGACGCTCTTATCCAGAGCGACTTACATTATCTTTTTTTTTTTTAACTGGCCCCCCGTGGGAATCGAACCCACAACCCTGGCGTTGCAAACGCCATGCTCTACCAACTGAGCTACATCCCTGCCGGCCATTCCCTCCCCTACCCTGGACGACGCTGGGCCAGTTATTGATTTAAGAGGTTACTCTATGGAGATAGATTGGTATCAAAATGTTTCAAATCGAATACATATGTCAAAAATGTTAAATACTTGATGTGCCCATGAGTATGGAAGCTAGTTTCCGACCCCCCCCAAAAAAATCTGACTACGAGTTATGAGATAGTAATTCATAATTATGAGATAGTAAGTCATAATTATGAGATACGTTTAGGTGATCTGTATCACATGAATCCAATGTGCACTTTGCATCAGGCCCTCCTCAACTTTCGAGGATAACCTTACGTATATCCTATAGTCAATCACACATTGTGTGTGTGTGAGAGAGAAAGAGAGAGAGAGAGAGAGAGAAATTGTGGTGATATTGTTCCATATTAACGTATTGGAGAGTTTTGTTGATGTGAGTTGGTGCCTGTTTGATGACATCTGGTTGACATCAGATTTAATTAATATACACTGAGTGTACAAAACATTAGCACCCCCTTTGCCCTCAGAACAGCCTCAATTCGTCAGGGCATGCTCTACAAGGTGTCCAAAGCATTCCACAGGGATGCTGGCCCATGATGTCTCCAATGCTTCCCACAGTTGTGTCAAGTTGGCTGGATGTCCTTTGGGTGGTGGACCATTCTTGATACACACGGAAAACTGTAGAGCGTGAAAAACCCAGCAGTGTTGCAGTTCTTGACACACTCAAAACTGGTGCGCCTGGCACCTACTACCTACCATACCCTGTTCAAAGACCCTTCAATATTTTGTCTTGCACATTCACCCTCTGAATGGCACACATACAAAATCCATGTCTCAATTGTCTCAAAGCTTAAAAATCCTTCTTTAACCTGTCTTCTCCCATTCATCTACACTGATTGAATTGGGTTTAACAACTGACATCAATAAGAAATCAAAGCTTTCACCTGGATTCACCTGGCCAGTCTACGTCATGGAAATATGTTTTTTACACTCAGTGTATAGCCACTGATTATTGAAGAATCTAACTTAGAAATTCCTCATGAGCAACGGTCTTAACCAATCAGAACCCAAAATATAAGCTTGGCTTACTGTATTGTTTGTAAACAATGTCATTGGAAACAAGCACGGTATAGCTTCAATACATGGTTAAAACTATCATTTTGATCTCATGGATGGTCAGTCCTTGTGTCTATGTATTTGAGATTGGTTACAATTCTCCTGCCCCATTCCTCAGCTGTGGCAGGAGAAGCTTTGTTATTGTTTGAATCCCAGATTGCCCCTTTAAAAGGGGTCGACCTGCAGGATTATTCAATGTCCATGATCCAGACCTTCTATCTCATCATTATACCTTACTATCTCATAATCAGATTTTATTTTTGGGGAGGCGGGAACAGGCTTCCATACTTGATGGCTTGCCTGGTTAACGCAATTTGAGCTTTTGGAATTATTCCTGACTAAATCAAGCACACCTTAAGTATTACAAATGTTTGACATATTTAACCAAGTTATCGTCACATATCCTTAGCTAAAGCATTTGAATAGGTCTAGGCCACAAATTGTATACAAATCTGTATGTTTTGTTTAAAGAATAAAAGTATTGTTGTCATGTCATTCAAACCCCTCATAATCTTCCATATTTACCGTACAGTCAAACATATGGCCTTGAATCCTAATTTTAACATTACAAGACACATTAAATGTTACAGTGTATACATGTATGGAACACCCAGGCACTGTGGTGTTCCTCCAGAAGTGTCTTAAGACCTCAAAAAAAACATAATCATTGTAACAATACAAGCCACATTAAATGTAACAGTGTACACGTAAAAATCAGTGACATAAAAGTGCTAAATATGCAATAGGTCCAGAGATCGGAGCAACAGAGCTGAGCTTCATGGCTGGTTTGGTTGGTCGCAGTCCCCACCAAGCTATTAAGCTACTAATAATATTAATTCATATTAATTCAAGCTATTAAAGCATGTATTGAATACATCTTTAGCTGCTCATAATATTGGTACATATTGTAGGTCCTGACAAGGGCAGGTCTCGCTCTTCAGACGACTGCCAAAGTTTTGGAGATTAAAAGTAAAGGTCCATCTCCTCCTCCTCTTTGACCTCATTGTGTTTAAGTATCGTATCAGCGACAGGCTTCAAGCGTTTGGTCACCAGTTTGAGGTTGGTCTCGTGAAGGATGACCTGGCTCAAGTACTTCTCTCGTTTGATCTGTTCCCTCACTGCGTAAGGCACGTCTGGGATCATGTAGGACAGGACGAACTTGGTCAGGTATACAATGTGCTGAGGGGACAAGGGAAAAAGGGTCGGAAGGAGGGAAAACGTTAGTAAGAGTTCTTGAAAGGCTAGAAAATGTCCATCTGGCATTAGACAACACAGTAGAAAGAAAAATCAGGTCAAAGCAACGTATCGTATACATTTTTACTCACCTCTACAACTATTATGAAAGCCATCTTGGCAGCGATCACATGCCAGTAGTAGATACTGTATTCATATTGTCTGTGGTGTCCCGGTGGATATCTGAAATCTCGATATCTAAAGTATGACAGAAAGACTGCATGAACTATTTCAATGTCTAACACAATTTAATTGAAACCCATCTCATATACATTCACATTACCTGCAGGTGGTGCTGTTATTGAACCAGTAAGGTGTTTGCGAAGGCCGGCTCTCGTTGGAGAAGTGCTGGATGTCGAACACGGAGAGCGTGTTGTTGATGTAGCCCTGCATGGTGTGACTGGAATGGTCTCCGTAGGGATACACAGAGAAAGACCAGTAGTAGACCAACCGTGGGATCATGTCTGATGTGAAGGCAATGATCATGGCCTGGCAGAGAGACAAGGAAGTGGAGGAGACAGTGCACATTAAACTGGTGCTCATCATAATAGATTAATTATAATCTAAGAATGTCACTACACCAGCATGGTAACAATCAAATTATATGAATGACATCCAGTGATGGGATTATGCAATGGAGAATAAACCAAAAATGTGTCAAACTATATAGTATTTTCTCTCCCATAATACTTCATAATCCAATGGAGGAGCCATCACTCACATTTGATGCCACAGCCAAGATGGCGACACCTTGGAGAATGGGTTGCCACGCCCCGATGTCTTGGGCCTTCTCTGGCACCATACGGCGGAACTGGGTGGTGATCTTCCAGGCGTCCACCCGGATCTCAAAGAGGTTATTGACCAGAGCCAGGACAGGAGCCAAGGGGAAGGAGGCCACAAACAGAGTCACAAAACCAAACTGGATCACTGTAGGAAAAAAGCCACGCAGACACAAAGCCAAATTTGATCATTGAACAAAAATATAAACGCAACATGCAACAATTTCAAAGATTTTACTGAGTTACAGTTCATAAAAGGAAATCAGTCAATTTAAATAAATTCATTAGGCCCTAATCTATGGATTTCACATGACTGGGCAGGGGTGCAGCCATGGGTGGGCCTGGGAGGGCATAGGCCTACCCCTTTTGGAGCCAGGCCCACCCACCGGGGAGCCAGGTCCAGCCAATCAGAATGAGTTTTTCCCCACAAAAGGGCTTTATTACAGAAATAATCCTCAGCACCCCCCTCTCCCCTCTCAGGTGATCCCGCAGGTGAAGAAGCCAGATGTGGAGGTCCTGGGCTGGCGTGGTTACACGTGGTCTGCGTTTGTGGACGTACTGCCAAATTCTCTAAAACAACGTTGGAGGCTGCTTATGGTAGAGAAATTAACATTAAATTCTTTGGCAATAGCTCTGGTGGATATTCCTGCAGTCATCATGCCAATTGCACGCTCCCTCAACTTGAGACATCTGTGGCATTGTGTTGTGTGACAAAACTGCACATTTTAGAGTGGCCTTTTATTGTCCCCAGAACAAGGTGCACCTGTGTAATGATCATGCTGTTTAATCAGATTCTTGATATGCCACACCTGTCAGGTGGATAGATTATCTTGGCAAAGGCAAAATGCTCATTAGCAGGGATGTAAAGAAATTTGTGCACAGAATTTGAGAGAATAAGCTTTTTGTGCTTATGGAAGATTTCGGGGATATTTTATTTCAGCTCATGAAACATGGGACCAACATGTTGCGTTTATATTTTTGTTCAGTGTAGATCTGGGAACCTGATACTATGATAGTTAGTAGTTCATAGGCTAGCTAGGGGGGAACCTGATACTATGATAGTAGCTGATAGTATCAGGTCCCCCCCCTTGCTAGCCTATCAGCTACAGTCATAGTATCAGGTTCCCCCTAGCTAGCCTATCAGCTACTATCAAAGTATCAGGATCCCCCCTAGCTAGCCTATGATAGTTAGTAGTTGATAAGCTAGCTAGGGGGGAACCTGATACTATGATAGTTAGTAGTTGATAGGCTAGCTAGGGGGGAACCTGATACTATGATAGTAGCTGATAGTATCAGGTCCCCCCCTTGCTAGCCAATCAACTACTATAATAGTATCAGGTTCTCCCCTAGCTAGCCTATCAGCTACAGTCATAGTATCAGGTTCCCCCCTAGCTAGCCTATCAACTACTAACTATCATAGGCTAGCTAGGGGGGAACCTGATACTTTGATAGTAGCTGAGCTAGGGGGAACCTGATACTATGACTGTAGCTGATAGGCTAGCAAGGGGGGGGGGGGCATGATACTATCAGCTACTATCATAGTATCAGGTTCCCCCCTTAGCTAGCCTATCAGCTACTGTCATAGTATCAGGTTCCCCCCTAGCTAGCCTATGATAGTTAGTAGTTGATAACCTAGCTAGGGGGGAACCTGATACTATGATAGTTAGTAGTTGATAGGCTAGCTAGGGGGGGACCTGATACTATGACAGTAGCTGATAGGATAGATGGGGGGAACCTGATACTATTATAGTAGTTGATAGGCTAGCTAGGGGGTACCTGATACTATGATAGTAGCCGATAGGCTAGCTAGGGGGGAACCTGATACTATGATAGTAGCCGATAGGCTAGCTAGCGGGGAACCTGATACTATGACAGTAGCTGATAGGCTAGCTAGGGGGGAACCTGATACTATGATAGTAGCCGATAGGCTAGCTAGGGGGTACCTGATACTATGATAGTAGCCGATAGGCTAGCTAGGGGGGAACCTGATACTATGACAGTAGCTGATAGGATAGATGGGGGGAACCTGATACTATTATAGTAGTTGATAGGCTAGCTAGGGGGTACCTGATACTATGATAGTAGCCGATAGGCTAGCTAGGGGGGAACCTGATACTATGATAGTAGCCGATAGGCTAGCTAGCGGGGAACCTGATACTATGACAGTAGCTGATAGGCTAGCTAGGGGGGAACCTGATACTATGATAGTAGCCGATAGGCTAGCTAGGGGGTACCTGATACTATGATAGTAGCCGATAGGCTAGCTAGGGGGGAACCTGATACTATGACAGTAGCTGATAGGCTAGCTAGAGGGGAACCTGATACTATGACAGTAGTTGATAGGCTAGCTAGGGGGGAACCTGATACTATGACAGTAGTTGATAGGCTAGCTAGGGGGGAACCTGATACTATGACAGTAGCTGATAGGCTAGCTAGCAGCGATTTGCACCATATTGCTTATGTCCATCCAACCCTTCTAGTTGAAGAAAGTGCCTTGGGGATAGGGGCTAGGGGTGGTTTCTGGACCGAGCCCAAAGTAATAGCGGGATCAGCTTCAACTCACAAGCATACGCCTAAAGCTACCACCGTACTGTGTACACACCTATCCAATCCTCTCAGATCTACCCAGGTGCCCGGGGATAGGGGCTAAGGGTTGATTTGGGTGTCAGGGAGAGAGTTCGCCTCATTCTTCATATCTTACCCATCTCCAGGTATTCATAGAAGAGGCCCAGCTTCCCAATGGGCTGCAGCTGGTAGTCCTGCTCCCAGCGAGGAATCACCTTTTTAGACCCAACACGTGTGCAGTAGCGGAATATCAAATTCTTCACCCACCTGATGAGGAGAAACATGTCAATCGCAGAATCATTACATTTACATTTACGTCATTTAGCAGACGCTCTTATCCAGAGCGACTTACAGTTAGTGCATACATTATTCTTTTTTAATTTTCATACCCCATGGGAATCGAACCCACAACCCTGGCGTTGCAAACGCCATGCTCTACCAACTGAGCTACCTCCCTGCCGGCCATTCCCTCCCCTACCCTGGACGACGCTGGGCCAATTGTGCGCCGCCCCATTGGTCTCCCGGTTGCGGCCGGCTACAGCAGAGCCTGGATTCGAACCAGGATCTCTAGTGGCACAGCTAGCACTGCGATTCAGTGCCTTAGACCACTGCGCCACTCGGGAGACATGATGCTAATAACAAGGTAATAGAGCTTGCCAGCTTGTAGTCCTCAAAAACAGAAATGAGTTATCATTTTCTACCTCTGGTTTGTTCAGCCATTCCTATTGGGGGAAATTAATGGGGAAAGAATGGGGTTTTGGGATAAACTTTGAAAATAAGGTTGAGGTTAAACACAGGCTAAGGAGATCATATATGTTTTGTTCTATGAGATAATATCTGTTAACATATAGACTGATATGTTATTAAATTGTGTTCTTACACTGGTACAGTCATGCCCTATGAGAGATGTACAACTGCGCATGTGCGAAAATAAAGAAAGGGCATTCCCCCGTTCTGGTTAAAACACCAATGATGAACATGTGTGTTCATTCCTCCGTTAAGTAAACCGGTATTCCTGTCCTGAAGATGACAGCACCAACAGGTTATGGGCCCAGGAGGGAACATGGAAGCCGATGGAATAGATTATGTTTCGACGGAGATGAAAAAAAACTACGAGTTATGGGAGACTACGTTTTTGGGGCACTTGCGTTTGCTAGGGCTAAAGGCCGCCATATTGAGCGTGGATGAAGATGAAGAAGACGGAGAGAAAAATGAAGAAGCCTACACCGAATTGATATAGGTTTTGGATGATAAAAGTCTTTCTCTGATAATGAGAGAAGCAACAGATGATGGGAGAAAAGCGTTGAAGATATTGAGGGAACATTATGCAGGTAAAGGGAAGCCACGTGTGATTAGCCTCTACACTGAGCTAACTTCTCTTCAGAAAGCCGCTGACGAAAATGTTACGGACTATATAGTTTGTGCTGAGACGGCTATTACAGCACTGAGGAACGCTGGAGAGACTTTAAGTGACGGGCTGTTGATTGCAATGATTCTGAAAGGTTTGCCCGAATCATTTAAGCCGTTTGCCATCCACATAACGCAGAGTGACGAGCCAACAACTTTTGGCAAGTTCAAAACCAAGTTGAGGAGCTTTGAAAGCACCGAGAATTTTAGCACCATTTCCACTGACGACAACGTGATGAAGGCAAGTAACATTAAAGTTAGCTGGCCAAGAGGAAGAGATAAAGGGACCGAGATAACCTGCTTCAACTGTGGCCAGAAAGGGCACAAGGCCCGGTAATGTACCGTTACTGGAGAGTCCAGAGAACGGAGACAGTGGTGTAGTTTTTGCAAGAGCTCCACTCACACTGACGCAAATTGTAGACGAAAAAGAAGAGACAATGTGAAACAAGCAACAGATGCTGAAGGCCACACATTTGCATTCAGAATAAGTGACTGTCAGGTTCGTGGACTGAAACAGAAAGGGCTGATGGTTGATACGGGAGCAATGTCACATATAGTCACGGACATCGGGAAGTTTAAGGAGTTTGACGAGACTTTCAAACCGGAAAAACATTACGTGGAGCTGGCTGACGGAACAAGAACGAATGGTGTCGCGGAGAGGAGAGGTGCAGCAGAGGTTTACCTGAGAGACAACACGGGTCGTCGGGTGAAAACAACGCTGACGAAGGCGCTGTACGTGCCATCGTTTCCACAGGACATTTTCTCTGTTAAAGCAGCGACAGCCAACGGAGCTTCAGTCAACTTTCGACATGGGTGTAACAAGCTCATCCACAAGAACGGTACCACTTTTGACATTGAGGAGTACGATAGACTTTACTATCTTAACACTGTAAGTGATGAAAATTATGATGGATGTCATGGGTGCTATGATATTCACACATGGCACACAATTCTTGGCCACTGTAATTTTGAGGATGTGTCAAAGTTAGAAAATGTGACAGAGGGAATGAAAATCACAGGTAAGATTGACAAATCTACCCTCAACTGTGAAATCTGCACACAGGGAAAATTTGTTCAGAGCAGAAACAGGGAGCCTGATGAAAAGGCAAAAGCGGCTCTTGAGCTTGTGCACACTGATCTGGCTGGCCCTATTGAGCCAGAGGCGAAATATGGGTTCAGATATACTCTAGCATTTACGGATGAATATTCAGGGGCAGTTTTTGTGTATTTCCTAAAAGCAAAGAGTGATACTGTAAAAGCTACTGAGAAGTTTATTGCTGATGTGGCCCCTTATGGGAAAATAAAGTGTGTCAGGTCAGATAATGGCACAGAGTTCACAGCCAAAGAGTTCCAGTCACTGCTCAGTAAGAATGCCATAAGACATGAAACTTCAGCCCCTTACTCACCCCATCAAAATGGGACCGCTGAGAGAAATTGGAGAACACTGTTTGAAATGGCAAGATGCATGCTACTTGAGAGCAACCTACCAAAGAACTTGTGGACATATGCTGTAATGACTGCTGCAGTAATTCGCAATAGGTGTTACAATAAGCGTATAGGACAGACTCCACACTACATGTTTACTGGGAGAAAGCCTGATCTTTCAAAGATGAAAGAATGTGGATCTGTTTGCTATGCATACAGACAGAACAAGAAAAAGTTGGACTCAAGATGTGAAAAGGGTATGTTTGTCGGGTATGATAAAAATAGTCCAGCATACCTAGTCTACTACCCAGACACTGGAAAAGTTTTAAAAACAGATTAGTCAAGTTCGTTACAAAAGGTGTAGTCGAACGCCAAACTCAGACAGATTTGGAAATGAGTGATGATCTTCATGGGGAGAGATTTGAATCCCCCATGCCAAAAGCCAAGATGGCAGATCAAAATTCCGATGTGCAAATCGAGACTTCAGATAGTCAGAGTCCACGCTATCCAGACAGAGCGAGGAAGAAACCCCAGTACTTAAAAGACTATGAGTGTAAAGTGAAGTGTGATGACCAGATACCACCTAGTGTTGACTACTGCTACAGAGTAATGTGCAATGCACCACAAACCTTCAAAGAAGCAATGATTTCACCAAAATCAGAGATTTGGGCTACTGCTATGAAGGAGGAGATGGATTCCCTTAGGGAAAATGATACATTCACATTGACCACACTGCCAGAGGGTAAAAATGCAGTGGGGGGCAGGTGGGTCTATGCGGTCAAAAACAATTCAGATGAGACTGAGACATACAAGGCAAGATATGTTGCAAAGGGGTATAGTCAAGTGGCAGGAATAGACTATAAGGATACTTTTTCTCCAACTGTAAATATGACATCAGTACGCTGTTTGATGCAGCTAGCAGCTCAGTATGACTTAGTTACATCAGATGGATGTCAAAACAGCATATATACATGCTCCTATTGACTGTGACGTGTACATGGAGCAACCAGAGGGTTTTGAAGTCAGGTCAGATACAGGTGAGCAACTAGTCTGCAAACTGAACAAGTCACTGTACGGCCTGAAACAGTCAGGAAGGAACTGGAACAAAATGTTGCATGATCACCTTAGTGAAAATGGTTTTACACAGAACCCAGCTGATCACTGTGTTTATAACAAACAAACTGCAACAGAAAGGATCATTTTGATAATTTGGGTCGATGATCTAATTATCGCTGCTAGTGATAGTGACTCACTCACAAGTGTAAAAGAAATGTTAAGTGAAAAATTTAAGATGAAAGATCTTGGGAGGCTTGGACATTTCCTAGGCATTGATTTTACACAAAGTGAAGGGAAAATAAAGATGAACCAAACAAGGTACATAACCAAGATACTGGAAAGGTTTGGTATGTCAGACTGTAAAACAAGGTCAACACCATGTGAACAAAAACAAAACTTTGATGGTGATGGTGAACCTATTGATTCAAAAAGGTATTGTGAAGTGATAGGCAGCTTGATATATGTGATTACATGTACAAAGCCGGATATCAGTTGGATTGTCAGCAAGCTGTCACAATACCTATCAGAACCAAAAGAGCAACACTGGATAACAGCTAAACATGTGTTGAGGTACTTGAAGGGGACAATGAATCAGGAGTTGTGTTACAAAAAGGGGGTGGAAAAACTCAACCTTGTAGCATATAGTGATGCTGATTGGGCAGCAGATCAAAGTGACAGACGAAGCATAACAGGGTATTGTTTTAGTTTAACTAAATGTGGACCTGTTATTTCATGGAGGTCTAAGAAGCAGCCAACAGTAGCTTTATCTACATGTGAAGCAGAGTACACTGGCTGCTACTACACAAAAAAGTTTGTACCTTGTACAGTTATTGGGCAAGATGGATAGTGAGTGCCAATATGCACCAGTAACAATCTTTGAAGATAACCAAGGTGCAATTGCTCTGTCAAAGAACCCAGTATGTCGTCAGAGATGTAAACATGTCGACATCAGATATCATTTCATTCGATCTGCACTCAGTGATGGTAAAATAAGTATTGAATATTGTCCAACGGCAGACATGGTTGCAGATGTTTTGACTAAAATGAAAAATTCTTGGGTTATATGTTTGGAATATTAACTGACATTTGTGAGATGTATAACTGTAAGCTAAATGTGTTGATAGTTAGGTTGAATACGACTTGTACAGTATAAGAGCAAGTGGGGGTGTTAACATATAGACTACTATGTTATTAAATTGTGTTCTTACACTGGTACAGTCATGCCCTATGAGAGATGTACAACTGCGCATGTGCGAAAATAAAGAAAGGGCATTCCCCCGTTCTGGTTAAAACATCAACGATGAACATGTGTGTTCATTCCTCCGTTAAGTAAACCGGTATTCCTGTCCTGAAGATGACAGCACCAACAATATCAGTCAGTTAACATGACCTTTGTGAATTATGAAACCCTTATCTGCTGTATGTGATTGTTTTGATTACGGATATGCTTTAAAATTCACAAAAAGTGACGTTAGCTGATTAAGATTATCTCTATATTAACAAAATGTATAAGACCTCCTAAGCCTGTGTTTCCGGCATTTATCAAAAAACCCAACAAAACCCCCATTAATTTCCCCATAGGCTTTGGTCAATGAGCCATGGCAGAGTTAGTCTCCGTTAGTGCCTACAACAAGACACCTTTATGATTGCTCTCTGAATCAGATAATAATGATGTCTTGATACAGATACACTTGAAGATAAGGGGGAATTCCATTTTGAGTTGGGATGGAATAAACCATTGAACCAACCCTGATTCAATGTAACTGGAAAACTTTACAGTTGCTGGGCTCCTAGAGAGCTGATGTGGTTGGCCATTTTATGTTCTTCCATTGAACCAAAAACTTACGGCAGCAACACCTCCTGAATGTTATTCCAGATGGCTTTACCGCCCATGATGACAGTGAGCTGGGTTGTCAACTCAATCAGGCATCCTCCTGGATCACACTGGTAAAGATAAATAATTGGTCATTTAGCAGACGCTCTTATCCAGAGCGACTTACAGGAGCAATTAGGGTTAAGTGCCTTGCTCAAGGGCACATCAACAGATTTTTCACCTAGTCGGCTCTGGGATTAGAACCAGCGACCTTTCGGTTACTGGCACAACGCTCTTACCCACTAGGCTACCTGCCGCCCACAGACACAAACACTGTATCAACCAATGTCGGCCATCTTGTAGTATTACATGAAAAAGCACCTCCATTCAAACAACTTGTATTTAGTGGAAGATGTCCTCATTTAGGTTCATTCATTTGAAATATGAAGGTCTCTTTTAGTCAAACACAAATGCCACAGAATGCAACATCTAATCATTTGGCAACATAGTAGTTAGAACACAAGCAAAGGGGAAAAGCAAAACACTGTCATGCTGTGTTATTACATGTTCTGCACCAATCACCAAGCTCCAATCAACTGAGCCTCCAATCAACTGATCTTTCAATCAACTGATCTTTCAATCAACTGATAGACGTAAGTACCTCCTCGTTCCTGTACTTGCCCAGCAGGTAAACAGGCTGCCCAGGGTAACCAACCACTTTCCCTTTGGCAAAGGCAATGTAGAAGCAGGAGGAGTAGTAGTTGACAAACTGGAACAGGAACATCTTCAGAGTTAGACTGTTCTCATAATCCGTCTTGGTCCTTGGTAGCTCTTTAAAATAACACAAGTAAGACATCTTCTCAATCTCGTCAAAAAAACACCAGGCTTAAATCAGGCTTTTGCTCTGTCCAGATTCTGCAAGTGGCTCTGAATAAGGACATCAGCTAAGGGCTATTGTGGTGGTGTGAATTTCCTACAGTATAAATATGTTGGGATACATATATTTGGATTACTTAGACCTATTGGCATGCAATATTTACTCATACCATGGTATAATTGCAGAATGTTTGGGGCACTGTTAAAAATATAAGACCGACTCCCTTCACAGGAAGATACTTTTGTTTTTACAATAAGCAAAGATACTGTATAAACCTTGCTAAGGAACGTTTGATTGAATATTTGCCCTTTGAGAAACATCATAGTTCCGTATAGCAAACCACATATTTCCTGTTGTTTGACACTGGGGCATCTCACCGAAGTCGGTGATCCAGATAGCAACCTTCTCATACAGGATGTTGAGCACCATTATGACCACGAAGCTGATGATGGAAGCAGTGACAGAGGTGGCCATTTGTGCGGTCACATACTCCTTAAACGGTTCTAGCTCCTTTAGGTCAGACTGGAGGCTTGTCGAAAATGAGAAGAACACTGCCAGTCGGTATACGATTATGGCCACCACTGACGCCAGGATCAACACAATCTGAACACAAGCACAAACACAAGAATTGGAGGGGTCAGACTTGAAACATAGGTTAGGGATATAGAAAACAAATGTTGCTGTTGGAGTGCATGTGAATTGGCCTATTCAGAACAAGATAACAGTAGAGAAGTCCAAAGGTTTTTACCCAGAATAAGACGGTCCCGATTCCTAAGGACACTCTTATACACCGTCCACAGGCTGTATAAGGCACGTTCTCTTTTACCTAAATGAAGAACAACATGTTTTACAATGAAGTAATGATACAGGTAATACTGTCCTTTTAAAACAACTATATAACATCATCGGATGTGGAGTGTTCTTCTAGCCTCCTGAGGCTGACGCTATGGAATCACCATAGCGACTGTGTGACGAACGCATCTCCCTTACCCGTGTGACAGGGTTGATTCTCTCGTGGTTACACTTGGCCTCATACTCGGGACGAGGTTGCTCCTCCTGCTCCAGGAACTCCACGGTGTCCCAATCATACTCCAGCTCTGCCTGGTAGCGCTTCCAGAACTCCAAGAACACGGTCACTAGAACCAGGATCGGAACAAGAGTAAAGCTTTATTTTACTTGCCTGGTCCCAGACTGTACCATGTGCTGAGGAAAACTCTTATATCATTATCATGCAACATCTAATTGCTAATAAGTTAAGATAGACAAAACAACACACTCAAATAATACAGTTTCTAAAACCTCTACATTTATAAATATGGTAAGTTTAATTAATGAAATGACTCACCCCAAATGGCCATAAAGACAGCAAACACCAGCGTCCCATAGTTATCAAATATGCACAGTTTCTGAGGAAGACAAGGTCACATGAACTACTTTTCACATCATTTTCCTCTCCTTCCATGACTCTTTGTAAATATATACGGAAACAAACCCTGTTCAAAAAGGTTTAATATGACTTGTAGCATGTCTCATTGGCCAAGGAGTCTGAGAAAATGGTCTGACATAACAAGCATTGGCAAATAGAATTTTAAAGGACTCACTATCCATATAAGTCACTTTCATAATCATAATCACTCTGAATTGACCATGTGAGTGAATGAGAATTGTTTAGTGATGGGCTGGAGTAAAAACCTGTACTGCCATGGATCAGAATTAGTGAACCCTAAAGTATTACTTACTTTAGAGGATTCACAGGTGCTGTTAAGCCTCCAGTATGTGCACTCCTTGTCACACTGCGGACACATCACAATATTTCCTCCAATCAAAGGGTCGCACACCTCTTTGCTGTCCAATAAATGAACAGAGCAGATGGGTCAAACAACAAAATGCAACAAAGTTGTTAATCATTGGGTTTTCACACAGTTAGAGTGTCAGGGTACAGCATGGAAGGAACATCAAGCAAACTTAACTTTACGTGTCCTATCCTGCACTAATTGATCTTCATTTGATATACAGTACACTAGATTTAGCAACTTGTCATATATTTCTATGGTGTTGTGGGTTTCTGAAGTACTTTCTTTGAGTTTTAAACATACCTCCAGGTGCTTGTTTCTTGAGTCGTGTACCCATAAATGAAACAGCCAAGTCCAACAATGGCAGCGAGGGCTAGCATGGCTGTATAGAAGCCCAGCCAAGCAAAGTAAATGCCAATCTTCTCCCCATAATATTTTCTGTGAGAAAATGAAAGAAAATATTATTATTTCCATCCCTTATTTACCATAATTACAATGATTAGGCCTTTAAGCACATTCTGTTTGTAAGAATAACTCTCAACACCTCTCTTACACTAAAGCAGCGATGTGCATGCAATGTGCATTTTTGTCAGAGTAGATTAAAGCATGAATTACCTTATGAGATCAAGTGGCTGCATCTTATAGAAACTTTTAGGGTGAGCCCACTCGTTATACAGGAGGTATCTCTCATTGGGGCACTCATCTTCTTTCGACCTGACGTTGAATCTGCACTACAGTAAGTTCACAGACAACAAAACAAAAAAGTTCATAAAAACACCCCTCAGTGTTTTCACAGATCGATTGGTGTTTAATGTACTATGTTGTCAGTTACTAGTGCCACCCCACTCTTTACCCCCACTCACATCATGCAGGGGATAAGCAGCCTTGTACACCCCTCCATCGAGCAGCTTGGTGACACCAAACTTCTTGATGTTCCCTCGTACCTCATAGGGGGCTCGGCTGAGGATGTAGTAGGCCTGAGGAGGAAGACCAACCATTCTGTTATCATTCAAGTGTTAAGAAAATAGTGTTAACACTATGGTTTAAGTATAGGTACATTGATAACCAATCTAAGTGGTGTGATGGAATGTTTTATGTTTGTGCTTTTCTAATAACCAATTTCTGTGTACTGTTTGTGCTTTTCTACAAACCAATTTCTGTGTTCATGCAAGTGACTGATTGAACGAATCCTCACTATCAATATCTGCAATTTGGCAGATTGTATAGAGAAAGGGATATCTCAGTTTCAAGGTCTCAGAGAAGAAGCCTCGTGAGGTATTGGTCTGTCACATGCATGACCCAGTATTGGTTGTCACATGAATGAAGAGAACATCAATTATGAATGATGAATAAGCTAAACCATGCAAATATAACTTGTCAGTATATAAGGAAACTAACGGGACTGCCCCGTTAGAGCTCCTGACAGATCGTTACTTTCTGCATCTAAGTTTGACTGTGACCTTTCCAGCTTGCTGACAATAAAGAGTGATTCATATAAGATTGACTTTGAGTGTCCCTGTGTAAGAATTTCCACAACAGTGGTCTACAGACAAAATATCTTCCAATACCATTTAGCAGCATCAGAAACCTGAGATGCTTAAACTACCATAAGAATAGTCAATGAAGTCAATGAAGTCCCCTGTAGCTCAGTTGGTAGAGCATGGCGCTTGCAATGCAAGTGTTGTGGGTTCGTTTCCCACAGGGGGCCAATATGAAAATGTATGCACTCACTAACTGTAAGTCGCTCTGTATAAGAGCGTCTGCTAAATTTGACTTATTTTTAGTCCTTTATTTTTAATCTCTATCAAAATCTAGTGTGCCGCTGCATCTTTGACCTCTCTGAATTTAGGGTTTATGTCCCATGATGAGGTTAAGAAAGCAGTGCACTTGCCATTCTACTCCTCATGGACGGCGTGAAGAAGAGGTCCCGGTCCTTCACGTAGAAGTACTCCAGCCTGTCCTTCTCGAACGGGGCGGTGAAGTACTCCGTCTCCTTGGCTATGAGGTCCTCGCTGGGGTAGAAGTGTTTGGTGATGCAGCTGAGGAAGTTGAAGGGCGAGGACGTGGTGGACAGGTCATTGGGCTGAATGGGCAGCTTGATGTGGAGGACCTCGGCGTAGGTACACAGCACGTCCCAGGGCATGTGCACCTTGACGAACAACAGCTTCTCATCCACCACCTTGTCGGAATGACAAAGATAAAACAACAAGATAAGGCAGCCTTTTTAATTTCAACTAAATGTATTACAACTTCAGTAATCCCCTAAGGGGCAATTAAGAAGACTGCCATGATCACAAATTACATCCTCCACATAAGTACTAAAACATCACATTAATCTAATGCAATGCTTTATTATCTACAAAATCAGAAGTTGGCTCTGTGTTTATCAATGTTAACTCATTGATCCTGTTCCATTAAATACCACCAAAGTTTGCCAATAATTGGGAAACTAGACTCAAATAATGGAATTGGTGCCATAGTTTTCCACTGCAATTCAATCTCAACCCTTCCTGAGGAAATAGCTGGTTGTTTAAAAGGATGTCTTTGTAAAACAACTGTGTCTGCCATCTAAAATGCAGCCAAAAACAAGCTCCACAAGGTCACGTAAATAAGCAGCATGATAATAAAACTATGTAACAAAAACAAATATTAAGTGTTTCTCTACCATCTAAGACCAAACTAATGTAAGATACTAAATATTGTTTCCACCCAATCCTCCCTGAAGATCTGCACACTAGACCTCACTCTGCAAGCTAACAGCAAAGTAAATACATCAAGTCAGTCCTTGTATTATGTGGCCACTCACAGATCTGGCAGCCTCTAGTTCCATCCCCATCTTCATCAAGCTGGCCTCAAAGTACTCTCTGCGTTGCTAGGGAAGAGAACACAGGATGTTAAATCAATGGATCCTGTGCTTGTAACACTACCCCTTCTGATTCCCTATTGGATCATGTCCAATCTGTTTGTCTTATTACTTTTGTAATGAAAAGCGCTTTAAAAATGCCATATCTAATACATTATTATCCCATCTTAACTGTGGTTGTGTATAATAAATAATGAATGAAAAGTGTCATTATATTGACATTACATTGACTGATTTCCCCTCAATGGATAGCAATGCACTGACGGATTTCAACCATATATGAAACTGACTACATCTATATGGTAATTGTGTGTACGATACAAGACTCCTTCTGATAAAACCACGTCAAATAAATAAAAATTGCATGCACAAAGTGCAGTGCAGGCAGCTCATTGGTCAATCAAAATACATTTCTACTATGTCCGTCTGTATGCTTCTGTTTAGTGCATCCACAACACTTGTAAAGAATTGTAAATACAGTAGATATAACTGGGTTGGGAATGACTAAAGGGTCAGTTTCTAGGGAAGTGGAATTTTAACTTATTTTCCCTCTCCTGCTGCTTTCAATGCTCCCTGCTCCCAAACCACTCATTGTAAAACAATATTTCAACATATTGTTGGTGAATCACAGATGCTACCTCTATCAAAGGTGCATTTACTTATTATTTCAGCCATTATCCCCTGTAGCTCAGTTGGTAGAGCATGGCGCTTGCAACGCCAGGGTTGTGGGTTTGTTTCCCACGGGGGGCCAGTATGAAAATGTATGCACTCACTAACTGTAAGTCGCTCTGGATAAGAGCATCTGCTAAATGACAAAAACATTTTTTTTTTTTTTTTTTAATATGATGTGCCAGAATCTGACATTTGAATAATTATATTTTGACATTTGTAAGGATAGTATATAGTGTATGTTAGTGTGTTACATTTCTGTCACCTTGTTGTGATGGATATTGTGCAACTGTCACGACTCCGGCCGAGGCTGCCTCCACTCCTTGTTCGGGCAGGCTTCAGCGTTCGTCATCACCGGAGTACTAACCACTGCCGCCCCAATCATCATCACAATTGTTTTGTCTCGTTATCACACACACCTGGTTCTAATCCCCTAATTAGTCCGTGTATAAGTGTTCCCTCTGCCCCCTTGTCCTTGTGGGTGATTGTTTATTGTGAAGGTTAGTGAAGCTCGGTGGAGCTCGTGTATTTTGTTCGACGGGAGTATTTTCCCATGTGCCTTGTATCTTATCGACCACTGAACAGGGAGACGATAAGACTTAGTTATCTTCTTCCCCTCATTCCTTCAGTATTTGAATCAATGCATGGGGCGCGCTTCTTCACCAAATTAGATCTCAGGAGTGCGTACAACCTGTGTATCCGAGAGGGAGATGAGTGGAAGACAGCATTCAGCACAACCACGGGGCATTATGAATACCTGGTGATGCCCTATGGTTTGATGAATGCTCCCTCAGTTTTCCAGTCCTTTGTGAACTAAGTGTTTCGGGACATGCTTGGTCGCGGTGTAGTGGTCCACATCGATGACATCCTGGTGTATTCCGCTACGCGCGCCGAGCATGTGTCCCTGGTTCGCAAGGTGCTGGCCCGACTGTTGGAGAATGACCTTTATGCTAAGGCAGAGAAGTGAATGTTTTTCCAGCAGTCCGTCTCCTTCCTTGGATACCGCATTTCCACCTCAGGTGTGGAGATGGAGGGAGATCGCATTTCAGCTGTGCGTAATTGGCAGACTCCAACCACGGTTAAGGAGTTGCAGCGCTTCCTTGGCTTTGCCAACTACTATCAGAGGTTTATCCGGGGCTTTGGCAAGGTTGCAGTTTCCATTACCTCCCTGTTGAAGGGTGGGCCGTCCCGGCTCCGCTGGTCTGCTGAGGCTGACCTGGCTTTCAGAAAACTGCGGGGTCTGTTCACCTCAGCACCAGTACTGGCCCACCCCGATTCATCACTACCGTTCGTAGTGGAGGTGTATGTGTCCGAGGTTGGGATAAGAGCTGTCCTGTCCCAACGCTCGGGTACGCCACCCAATCTCCGCCCCTGTGCCTTCTTCTCTAAGAAGCTCAGCCCGGCGGAGCAGAACTACGACGTTGGTGATTCCTGGTACGAAGAACGTGAAGGCAGACGCACTTTCCCGGCTGTATGACACAGAGGAGAGGCCCAGAGACAACACCCCCATACTCCCGGCCTCCTGCATTGTGGCACCGGTAGTATGGACGCGGATATAGAGCAGGCATTACGCACAGATCCATCTCCACCGCAGTGTCCAGCTGGGCTGCGGTACATGCCTGCTCTTATCTGTGATCGTCTGATCTTCTGGGCACACACGTCACCCTCCTCTGGTCACCCAGGCATCGGCCGTACAGTGAGCTGCTTGAGCGGAAAGTAATGGTGGCCTACCTTGGCTAAGGACGTGAGGGTGTACGTCTCCTCCTGCTCGGTGTGTGCCCAGAGTAAGGCACCTCCCAACGGGTAAGCTACAACCATTACCAGTTCCACAACGACCATGGTCTCATCTTAGTATTGATTTTCTGACTGATCTTCCCCTCTCCCAAGGTAACACCACCATCCTGGTCGTTGTGGACCGCTTCTCCAAGTCCTGCCGCCTCCTTCCTCTGCCCGGTCTCCCCACAGCCCTGCAGACTGCGGAGGCCCTGTTTACTCACGTCTTCCGGAACTACGGGGTGCCAGAGGATTTCGTGTCCAACCGAGGTCCCCAGTTCACGTCCAAGGTTTGGAAGGCGTTCATGGAACGTCTGGGGTCTCGGTCAGCCTGACTTCTGGGTTCCACCCCGAGTCAAATGGGGATAAGAAACGAGTAAATCAGGATGTGGGTAGGTTCCTGCGCTTCGGCCGAGGCTGCCTCCCTCCCCTCCTTGTTCGGGCAGGCTTCGGCGTTCGTCGTCACCGGAGTACTAACCACTGCCGCCACCAATCATCATCCCAATTGTCTTGTCTCGTTATCACACACACCTGGTTCTAAGCCCCTAATTAGTCTGTGTATAAGTGTTCCCTCTGCCCCCTTGTCCTTGTGGGTGATTATTTATTGTGAAGCTCGGTGGAGCTCGTGTATTTTGTTCGACGATAGTATTTTCCCATGTGCCTTGTATCTTCCAGTGCACCTGTTTTGTGCCCTGGAGTGTGTTTGACGCATTTCTGCGTAACCCTGTATTTTGCGGATTAAAGCCTGTTATTCTGTGATTTACCCTCCTGCGCCTGACTCCTTCAACATCATCTCCTCACAGCAACGTGGTAGGACAGGGATTTTACTCATATTAATCATAGGGATACCTTAGATCTGACACACTGTGACTGAAGCTAAGGAAAACTCCCTTTACAAATATTCAGAGTCAATATTCCGGGTGTACAATGAGAAAGCGTTGTGTGAATGCCTTAGGTCCTGGCATAATACAACACCAACTTCTATGACGGAACATAACACTGATTCCTACAAGTTACATCTTTGACGGAATGTGGCTTTAGTAACTTGTTTCATAGATAATACAGTACTCCTCTTAAGCTATAAGAAAGCACATTTGGCTTCACATATTCCTCAAAACTATGCTTACAGTGTGAAACTCAACTGCATTTAATTTCAAACATGCTTTTTCACAGCACAGTAGGAATACTGTTTTTAACTTCTGTCAGACAGAAACCTGCTGACCATGTTGAAAGTGAATAAGGACTCTTAGACTCACAATCTGCCACCAGAAATGCACTTACTTTCCGTTTCTGGAACGTTTGATTTTTGTCAATCTCCTTCATGTCCTCATCTTCATAGACTAAGACAAAGTCGATCCGTCTAACCCCATCATTGAAGAACAGAGAGTCAGATTTGCCATTGAACTCAGCCTGTGGGCAAAAACAACAGGCGATATCTGGTAGCTCCACAGTCTCAAACTCAAACTCTTCTTCCATGATATTATACATGTCCTTTAACGAGAGAGGGACCGACAGACAGCCTCACTGTGCTTGTACGAGACCCAACTAGACAACGTCTTTCTCAACTGACATCAAACTTAGAGAGAGGGAGGGAAGAGTCTACAACGAAAGTGACACACCCTTTTTTGTTCCATGAACAATAACAGTCCACATTTGGATTAGGACCAAACATAGACCTCTCTTGTAATTACAGATATTTGACACATTGATTCGTACATTTTCTGCATATGAAAATACAATAGCGAATCAATCAGTGTCCCTCTTGGTGAAATAAATGCAAGAACAAGCCATGTTATACATTTACATTTTTTGCATTTAGAAGACGCTCTTATCCAGAGCGACTTACAAATATGGTATTAATTGTAAAGGTATTCTTGGCAGCTCAAACTAATACTACAACTACTATTAAAGCTATGAGTACTAATCATTTTCATAATGCATAAATATTATGCATTTTAAAAGGGTTGGGACTCACCTTTTCCACTTTGGGCACTGATGCCCCCTCTGGTATAGTCTCATAGGTTGGCAAAAACTCCTGAGAATAAACTGCAAAAAAAAAAAATTCAAATGCATTAAAGCCATTAGAGACATGCATGACAAGATCTTAAACTTGATAGAGAGATTTGAGTCTTCTTAACCACCATCTTTTGTAAGACTCTGACAAGGCCCAGCAGATACACATAAAATCAAATAAATTTTTATTTGCCACATGCTCCAGATACAACAGGTGTAGGTAGACCTTACAGTGAAATGCTTACTTACAAGCCCTTAAGCAACAATGCAGTTTTAAGAAAAATATGTGTCAAGAAACTATTTACTAAAATAAACTGAAGTAAAAAATAGATAAGTAAAAAAATTAAACAAAACAAAAATAACAAATAATTAAAGAGCAGCAGTAAAATAACAGTAGCGAGGCTACTGGGGAGAACAAGTATTTGATACACTGCCGATTTTGCAGGTTTTCCTACTTACAAAGCATGTAGATGTCTGTAATTTTTATCATAGGTACACTTCAACTGTGAGAGACGGAAAATCACATTGTATGATTTTTAAGTAATTAATTCGCATTTTATTGCATAACATAAGTATTTGATCACCTACCAACCAGTAAGAATTCCGGCTCTCACAGACCTGTTAGTTTTTCTTTAAGAAGCCCTCCTGTTCTCCACTCATTACCTGTATTAACTGCACCTGTTTGAACTCGTTACCTGTATAAAAGACACCTGTCCACACACTCAATCATACAGACTCCAACCTCTCCACAATGGCCAAGACCAGAGAGCTGTGTAAGGACATCAGGGGTAAAATTGTAGACCTGCACAAGGCTGGGATGGGCTACAGGACAATAGGCAAGCAGCTTGGTGAGAAGGCAACAACTGTTGGCGCAATTATTAGAAAATTGAAGAAGTTCAAGATGACGGTCAATCACCCTCGGTCTGGGGCTCCATGCAAGATCTCACCTCGTGGGGCATCAATGATCATGAGGAAGGTGAGGGATCAGCCCAGAACTACACGGCAGGACCTGGTCAATGGCCTGAAGAGAGCTGGGACCACAGTCTCAAAGAAAACCATTAGTAACACACTACGCCGTCATGGATTAAAATCCTGCAGCGCACGCAAGGTCCCCCTGCTCAAGCCAGCGCATGTCCAGACCCGTCTGAAGTTTGCCAATGACCATCTGGATGATCCAGAGGAGGAATGGGAGAAGGTCATGTGGTCTGATGAGACAAAAATAGAGCTTTTTGGTCTAAACTCCACTCGCCGTGTTTGGAGGAAGAAGAAGGATGAGTACAACCCCAAGAACACCATCCCAACCATGAAGCATGGAGGTGGAAACATCATTCTTTGGGGATGCTTTTCTGCAAAGGGGACAGGATGACTGCACCGTATTGAGGGGAGGATGGATGGGGCCATGTATCGCGAGATCTTGGCCAACAACCTCCTTCCCTCAGTAAGAGCATTGAAGATGGGTCGTGGCTGGGTATTCCAGCATGACAACGACCCGAAACACACAGCCAGGGCAACTAAGGAGTGGCTCCGTAAGAAGTATCTCAAGGTCCTGGAGTGGCCTAGCCAGTCTCCAGACCTGAACCCAATAGAAAATCTTTGGAGGGAGCTGAAAGTCCCTATTGCCCAGCGACAGCCCTGAAACCTGAAGGATCTGGAGAAGGTATGTATGGAGGAGTGGGCCAAAATCCCTGCTGCAGTGTGTGCAAGCCTGGTCAAGACCTACAGGAAACGTATGATCTCTGTAATTGCAAACAAAGGTTTCTGTACCAAATATTAAGTTCTGCTTTTCTGATTTATCAAATACTTATGTCATGCAATAAAATGCAAATTAATTACTTAAAAATCAATCAATGTGATTTTCTGGATTTTTGTTTTAGATTCCGTCTCTCACAGTTGAAGTGTACCTATGATAAAAATGACAGACCTCTACATGCTTTGTAAACCTGCAAAATCGGCAGTGTATCAAATACTTGTTCTCCCCACTGTACAGGGGGTACCGGTACAGAGTCAACGTGCGGGGGCACAGTTTAGTCGAGGTAATTGAGGTAATATGTACATGTAGGTAGAGGTAAAGTGACTATGCATAGATAATAAACAGAGAGTGTGGGGGGGGGGGGGGGGGGGGGCAATGCAAATAGTCCGGGTAGCCATTTGATTAGCTGTTCAGGAGTCTTATGGCTTGGGGGTAGAAGCTGTTAAGAAGCCTTTTGGACCTAGACTTGGCAATCCGATACTGCTTGCCGTGCAGTAGCAGAGAGAACAGTCTATGACTAGGGTGGCTGGAGTCTTTGGTCATTTTTAGGGCCTTCCTCTGACACTGCCTGGTATAGAGGTCCTGGATGGCAGGAAGCTTGGCCCCAGTGATGTGCTGGGCCGTACGCACTACCCTCTGTAGTGCCTTGCGGTCAGAGGCCGAGCAGTTGCCATACCAGGCGGGGATGCAACCAGTCAGGATGCTCTCGATGGTGCAGCTGTAGAACTTTTTGAGGATCTGAGGACCCATGCCAAATCTTTTCAGTCTCCTGAGGGGGAATAGGCTTTGTCGTGCCCTCTTCATGACTGTCTTGGTGTGTTTGGACCATGATAGTTTGTTGATGATGTGGACACCAAGGAACTTGAAGCTCTCAACCTGCTCCACTACAGCCCCGTCGATGAGAATGGAGGCGTACTCGGTCCTCCTTTTCCTGTAGTCCACAATAATCTCCTTTGTCTTGATCACGTTGAGAGAGAGGTTGTTATCCTGGCACCACACTGCCAGGTCTCTGACCTCCTCCCTATAGGCTGTCTCATCATTGTCGGTGATCAGGCCTAACACTGTTATGTCGTCGGAAAACTTAATGATGGTGTTGGAGTTGTGCTTGGCCATGCAGTCATGGGTGAACAGGAAGTACAGGAGGGGACTGAGCAAGCACCCCTGAGGGGCCACCGTGTTGAGGATCAGTGTGGCAGATGTGTTGTTACCTACCCTTACCACCTGGGGGCGGCCCATCAGGAAGACCAGGATCCAGTTGCAGAGGGAGGTGTTTATTCCCAGGGTCCTTCGCTTAGTGATGAGCTTTGAAGGCACTATGGTGTTGAACGCTGAGCTGTAGTCAATGAATAGCATTCTCACATAGGTGTTCCTTTTGTCCAGGTGGGAAAGGGCAGTGTGGAGTGCAATAGAGATTGCATAATCTGTGGATCTGTTGGGGCGGTATGCAAATTGGAGTGGGTCAAGGGTTTCTGGGATAATGGTGTTGGTGTGAGCCATGACCAGCCTTTCAAAGCACTTAATGTCTACAGATGTGAGTGCTACGGGTCGGAAGTCATTTAGGCAGGTTACCTTAGTGTTCTTGGGCACAGGGACTATGGTGGTCTGCTTGAAACATGTTGGTATTAACAGACTCAGTCAGGGACATGTTGAAAATGTCAGTGAAGACACTTGCCAGTTGGTCAGCGCATGCTCGGAGTACACGTCCTGGTAATCTGTTTGGCCCTGCGGCATTGTGAATGTTGACCTGTTTAAAGGTCTTACTCACATCGGCTACGGAGAGCGTGATCACACAGTCGTCCGGAACAGCTGATGCTCTCATGCACGCTTCAGTGTTGCTTGCCTCGAAGCGAGCATAGAAGTAAATTAGCTCGTCTGGTAGGCTCGTGTCACTGGGCAGCTCGCGGCTGTGCTTCCCTTTGTAGTCCGTAATAGTTTGCTAGCCCTGCCACATCCGACAAGCATCAGAGCCGGTGTAGTACAATTCAATCTTAGTCCTGTATTGACGCTTTGCCTATTTGATGGTTCGTCTGAGGGCATAGCGGGATTTCTTATAAGCGTCTGGGTTAGAGTCCCGCTCCTTGAAAGCTCTACCCTTTAGCTCAGTGCAGATGTTGCCTGTAATCCATGGCTTCTGGTTGGGGTACACTACGTTCAA